TATATATATATATATATATATATATATGGGGGATTTGATTCATTTGAAAAACTTGGTTGTTTAGTCAAACGAGTTTGTTAAAGAGTTAAAGGAATGAAGGTTAATTTTATTTTAAGTTACAAGAAATGTTAGGAAAATAAAATTCATTTTTTATATATTATATTTTATTTAATTACTAATAAAAAAATAAATTTTTAAATATTTAAAATTTTATTTCTTTATTAATAATTAAAAATAATGCGTCCACGCAACAACAACATTCTAATGAGATATATATATATATATATATATACATGCATATTTTAAATAAAAGGAAGAATCAAGAATGGTGTGTATAGTGTCCACTAGCGATCGAGCCTGGTAGGAAAGGGTGCGTGCGTGGTAAAAATAAAATACATGATGGAAGCAAAGACTTTTGTTCAACTTTGCATCGTTTGGTTGTGTTTAAACCAATGATTTGTGGGTTTGACTTGGTGGCATACGCTCAATTTTCTTTTTCTCCACATATTCTATGGAATTATGAACATCATCCCTGCTGCTGCTGCTACTGCTGGGAAGTGGGAACAGGACTAATGTTGGCTGGCCCTCATTGAGTCAAAACGGCCGAACCAAGAATTAAAAGGGACTTTACCATCCATCCTTATCCTATGTTGGACTTCAATTGGGATTCCTTACTTAAAAAGTCAGGGAAGTTTCATATTTGAATCACTTTCTTCTCTTATATGCGACTATTTTGTACACTCGACATATATATATGCCAAAAAGTTTTTTTTTAAGACCATCCCTAATTTACATAATATTAATTGTTGATTTATCACATATAATTAAGATGCTCTAAATTAGCTATAGCATGATAGAGCAGCCCGGTGTTTTAATTCGGACGTTAATATTGTATTTTTGTTGTGGCACAGTCAGATTTTGTAGAGGAAAAGTCAAAATTTGAAGTGGCAGTTGGAAGGTGTTTAAGAAAAGAAGAGAAGAGCAGAGGTGGTCTGCTGCTAGCTAAATTTACCTGCTACTTTGAAAGTGGCATATCTTTTCAACAGTCAGGCATGTGATGGTGGGGTACCCATTTCTGTGTCTTTTATAGATAGAATTTAGAAGACAGATTAATACCGCTTCAAACGTACAAACATACATAAATCTGAATCACTCACGTACTCATCACGGAAGCTGTTACAGAAGCGATTTAGCTATAAATATATATATATATACACATATATTTTCAAAGATTAATTAATTAATTAATTAAGGCGGCATTGAAAATCTTGTTTCATTAAAGAGGACCGATTTCGCAATAGAGAAGGGATTTTGATGATGCGGTATCACAAAATATATTATATAATACAATAAGCATTAGAGGGTACATCATATATGGTGGTAGTAATTTACTAAATTTGCTATTGGGATTTGGGTGATGAAATATAAATTATTGCCCCACTTCATATAATTACAAGAAGAACATAATTGAAAGTGAGATGGAAAAAGATGTTGTTGGGTGGGGGGTCC